GCTACCCCGATGGTAAAGACTGGTGCGCCTCCACCAACCCTACCTTTTGCAGGCACCACATCGCCCACGGCCCCTGCGGTGCAGGCCGTGGAAAGCCCATCGTTGGATAACGACGGGAGAGGGCCCGGGACGATAGCCCTCTCTCGCCGGCCACTGGAGGTCCGAATCCACTGAGGCGGTACACCTTTTTTCTTATTGCTACTCATCACATAGAAAACAGTAATAAGTGATTTAATTTCGGAGATTTCCTTCTGCTAGGCCGACTGCCCACACAGGGCTAACAAGCTCGGCTTACCCGTGGACTCACTTTTACAAGTCTGAAGATTCGTGGAAGACCACTCCGGCAAGGGAGACCCTGACAGGAACCAAAGTTCCTGCCGGCACAGCTCTTTCGGTCATTGCCCACGCAAGCCCGGGCACCACATCAAAGTGATGAATCTAAACTTGCTCGGGACCCCAATCGGGATCACAATCTTTTTTCTTTTGTACGTAGGGAAATCCTTTACGGATACCCTGATCCTGGGGGAAAACCAGGGTTATGTGAAATTTTTTCCCTTCACCCGCAAGTGAAAGGAGATATATCCACTAAAACCCCACGGTGAGCCTACGCTGCGGGATGGCAGAAAGGACCTGGAACATTAGGGTAGAACTATACCAGGACCTCTCCCCTGCAATGACATCTCGTGGGGAGGTGATGGCCTCCTCCCCAATTTTATGTTAATAGTGGCAAAGTGTGGCCCACCCACACTCCGCCACTCTTGCTGTGAAGTTAGCGCGAGCAAATCAGGGCTCCCACCCCAATTCGTCTTAATCCCGAGCAGCGGCAGGCCTGTTCGGGAGAAAAAGATATGAGAGAACAAACTCCCATTCCCGCTTCCGCAGTACCTCCACCGCTGCTTCTCCAGAAGAGACTCTTCCAACCGACCGCCCCGGAAAGAGGAGAGCACCAGAGCGTCCCCTCTTCCAGAACCTGGAAGAGGGGAAAAAGGCCGAGCTTCGACTATTTGTCCAGGCCCGAAGCTTTGAGCAGATGATCACCACCGGTAGGGTAGGGGTGACGTCCGGCAACAGTGGCGTAATCGCCACCGTTCCGGTACCTACTTGATAGGGAGCTCGGTCCTCGCCTTTCAGCTTTGAGGACCGAAGTCCCGGCTTACTTTTGCTACCTTCTTCACGTCTTTTGGCGGGAGGAAAAGCACCGCTCTCGCTTGAGCCGGACGCGGGCAAACCCCCCTTAACACCTTCCTCTTAGGGAGAGGATCTGACCGCGTCCATCGGCTCTATTGTCTCGTAGACGGGATGTCCCGCGGGCACTTCGAGAGGAGCTAGTTCCCGGGACGGCAATCTGTCTGCTGCCTTGAACGCAGGGGCAGATTTCACCTCTTGCCTCCCGCTACTCCTAACCGATGAGGGGCGAGGGCACGCCTCCCCTCTCCATCCTATGCCCATCAACACAAAGCGGACAGCGGGGCGACGCCTTGCACCCCCTTGCCAGGTGCAACAAACTGCCGCACCTGTAACAGCAAGGGAGCCTTACCACACCCGTGCACCGCTGCCTGGAGTGTCCAAACTCTAGACAGCGGTAGCACTGCATCGGGCAGGCCGCCTGTGGCTCAACCGGCAGAGAGACCCATCCGATGCTAACCGTTCTACACCGGACTATCCTGCGCGCGGCCACCAACGGCAGCCGCGCCTAGACTGTTCCGACGCCGGCAGAAGAGAAGCGAAACTCGCCAACCCGTACCTCTTCCTGCTGGTAACCACCGCCTGTCGCCAGGGAAGAGATCGAGGTACTCAGGCCCTTAACTCCAAGTTCTCCGAACTTACGGGGCCTGGCGACCTATACCCGCTCCCCCAAAAAAGTGGAGAGACAGTCGGCAAGCCGGTCTGCCACTGTCACCCCTCCCTCCGGGGACCTCCAGCAATAAGCCGCCGGACGCGAAGGGACGAGGACAAACTCCAGAAACCTCCGCGCCCGCCACGTCCACATGGACCGCCTTCCGGAGCACGTCTGCGTAGGTAGCAGTGCTCTTTTCTGGGATGGAGAGCGTGACCGTCGGACGCGACGGAACACGCCCCATCCCGGACAAACCCACTTTTTTCTTCCCCTTCGGACAGGGGGAAGTTGAAGGTGGAGCTCATGAGCGTTCCTCTCTCCGCTCTTTCTCCGTGCTCCCCTCACCTTGCCGCTCAAAACGGGTAATAAGGGGGCAGGTGTTGGACCGGCGGCACTTTCACTAACACAAAGTGTTTGACGCGCACGCCGGCCCGGAACCGTCACCCACCCATGACGAGTGAGTGACACCGTCAGGAAAATATCCTCAGATGCTCTCTGATTCTGTGCGGGCACCAGGGAAAGACACGTGGTCTTTCCTTTGCGGAGCCCCGCCACACCACCTGGTCCGACTGGGAAACGTTGAGAGATCCGCTCTCAGAACGCTCCCAGCCGGGCCTCCAAGAGAGCTTCCACTTTACTTAGAAGGGCTCCTTTACCGCTTCCTTCCTCTTCGTTTCGCCCCGCGTCTGGACAAACACGGACGAGACCCTGGGACGGGCTGCAGACGCAGCCCACGGACTCTTCTCCTTTCTCGCTAGCGCTCCTATCCCAGCACCCGCAACAAGAGGTCGGGAGAGAACAGCGGGAAAGTCAGAGGTTCTTCGGAACGGAAATACACCATTTCCTACAGTGACCCTCCAATATGCCACGCATATATATCTCGCGACGGTGCTGTCGCAGATGTCGTAAACCGTTTTGTCCCTTTCGTTTTGCAGATCGTCCTTTCCCTGGATGACCTTCGTGAGATCAGCCCGAGATTTTCGGACCTTCTTGCAAAGGCCAGCCATCTCTGCCTCAAGGGCTATAATCCTCTAGGCAGAGCCCTTCTTTACCGGCAGAGGAGAGAAATCACTTTCTCCAACCGCCCCACTCATGTCGCCTAGGATGGGCCCCAACACGGACTTTCTCCTCTTCGGCGGCGTGACCGAGCCGATGGTGAAAACTGGTGTTCCACTACCAAACACCTTACCCTTCGCAGTCACTGATTCGCCCACGGCCCCTGCGGTGCAGGCTGTGGGTAGCCCGTCGGTAGATGACGACGGGAGGGAGTCCGGGACGATAACCTTCTCTCGCCGGGACCTGGGGATCCGACCCCTGGTCCGGTAGACCTTGCTTTTTCTTACTACTCATTTCTCTATAAAATATAAGTAGTGGTTTAATTTCGGAGTTTTTCTTCTCCTAGGCCGGCTTCCCACACAGGGCTGACAAGCTCGGCCTGCCCGGGTGTGCTCTTGGTCTGGCCGCTCTCCGTGGACCTGTCCGGCAAGGGTGACCCTGCCAGGAACCGAAGTTCCCGCCGGCATAGCTACACAGATCAACACAAGTCACATTCTTTTGTTTTAACGCTGAGGAAATGCATTCACGCACACCCTGGCTTAGACTAATGTAGGCCAGGATAGTGTGGAACTTGCCCCCACCGACGAGTCGGAAGGAGAATACCCACTAAAACCCACAGCGGTGTCCACCTGCCGCCCTTTTGGGACTGCCCCGGTATCTCGTTAGAACAATCCGGGACAGTCCGTAAGAGCATGAGCTTGCGCCCCACTCCACTGTAGAAAGGAAAGTGGTCACCTCTTTTCTCTCTTTCCTGCAATGGAGCGAGGGGACACCTCAACTCCGCCGCCGTTGAAGAACCGCGTGCAATGAGAAGAAAAACATTCCTTCTGCGGTTCCCGAGTCCAACACCACCCCTTCAATGGTGGACCCACCCACCACTAACAGCACTTCACTCACAAGAGGGAGGTCCGTTTTAGACCAACAAAAGAGGGCAACCGGTCTCAGCATGTCAGTTGTCCCCGTGTCCCCATACGGGAGGGAAGGGTGGGAAGTTGGACTTGACTGAGACCGAGCCCGCAACACAAGGTAAAACGGCCTGGACCCCAGCAAAAGGGAGGACAAGCACGGCCACCTTTATATCTGGTGCTTTCTGCACCAGGTATACGGAAAAACTCCCACTAGAAGCCGCGTCTTCTCTCCCTCAAAAAGGAATAACTGTGGGCACGGTTGTCTCCCGACGGGTGATACTCTATTGACCACAGTACGATTCGACACCGCTCGATTCGACACAGATTTATTCGACACCAAATTATTCGACACCGTACGATT